AGAAAGCACACAAACACACACACACACACACACACACACACATATCATTGCTTCTGTATAACACTGCTTATGTTGGTTTTCCTGGCAAGAGACCATACTATAGGTGAGGCATTATAGCATCTCCAGAATAGCAAAAATTCCTCCCTCAAGACTCTTTGGAGCCTTTGATTCGTATTGTTCTGCGTCTGTTTTGATCCGGGCAGGGCTGCGTGTTGAATCAGAGCTTCAGTTTCTTTCCTGTGGTAAGAAACGCAGTACTCCTGCCGCAACTTTCTTTAAAAAAAAAAAAAAAAAAACTGAGACCAGGGCTGAAAAGAGGCTCTGGCTCCGCAGTGCCTGTTGCCTTTGAGGAGGAAAACACAAAAAGATGCAGCGTCACCCAAAATAGACAATGTGAATGAGATGTGATGTGTCACTTTGCCAGAGGTTAAGTTTTGCCTCGGCTTTAAGCGGGGATCTCTCTCTGCTGCATGGTTTTCGGGCGCACAACACACTGCCGCTGCTGCACTTAAGTCCATGCTCAGTCAACCAGTCTTGTTAACATAACAGAGTGAATGATTGTGCCCAGTAGGAAAAAAGGAAATCATCGTACCTCCCAGCGAATGCAGTTACTTGGTGATTTATAGACCTCTGAAGTTACTGCATTTTTCACTATCAGCATGACTTAATAGTGTGTTTCTATAATCCTCTTCCTGCCTCATATTCTGTTGATTTGAGACATCCTTCTTAGTAGAATAGTCTTGTTTTATTATGTCAAATTAACTTTTGATTTTAAGCAGCTGCTACCTTTTTTAATTTAATTATAATTTTTTTGCCTTTTGATGCCGTTTTATTTCTGTAACAGGGAGAGCTCTGTGTCTGTCATGTGAGGCTGTGTGGAACAGCAGTCTGGCATCTACAGCAGTCAGAAATGTGTTAGCGCTCTCTTCTTCTTGACAGGACTGCGCGAGCCGAACACTACCTGAGTTGTCATTAAAGTGGCTGGTTGCTGTTTGCATCTTCTTTTTTTTTGTCAGCTGCAGAAACATTTTCACGTGTGCTTTGAGTGATAGGACCCAGTCACGTACACTACCATTTTTTGTTTGTCTGATGCTGAAATGTCTTAATTTTAGCCTTTTATTTATATTCATTCATCTATTGATATTTATGTGCAGTAGCAGATGCCCATAGCACTTTACTAAGAGGAGCCAGGGCACCAAATTCAATATATCTGCTTTTTATCTGCCAGCATTTCTGAAGGATTATCCCTTAATCTCTCAGAGTAAAAAGCTGTCTTCAGCTACACATGTCCTCCTGGCTTTCCATGAGTACAAAGCAAACATTCAGGCCATAGATTGGACATTTACAAAGCATATCCCATTAACAGCAAGCAATTAACTACCTCTGTGGGGATATTTTCAAAATCTCCTTTTTATCACAGTTTAGCGAGCAGGAACATGCTCTGCACCTCCTGTAAGCCCACCTGATTAATATGTTTCAGTTGACTCTGGGGAGAATTAATCTGAATATACCTAGTAGTGTTTACAGGTGAGCATATTCTGATATTTCACTGTCTGGATTAAGCTGTACCTAAGAGCTGATAATAAAAGAAGAGGGACGAGTGTGTAAAATGAAATGTGACTAAATTAGTGCGTTTTTTTAAGAATGCACACATTTTTACAGTGTAACCAGAAAAGCGTGGTTGTATAAATGCACGGTCTGTTACAGTTAAAGCCTCCAATAATAAGCAATGAAGATCATAGCTATCCTTAGAAAGATTTTTTTCCAGAGTATCAATTTAATCATGCAGTCTTCATTGGTGAATGGAGTTTGCTCAGTTGTCATGGAGATGGATGTGTTGACATGCAAGCTCAATATCACGCTTAGGACTTCTCGTCCATATTGGGATAAATTTAAGAAATCCCAACTCAATGTCCTCTTACTAGCTTTCAACTGTATGATGCGCCCGTCATCAGCGTATAGAGTAAGGCTACAGCAGGCCATTCCAGTTTAATCTGACGATAAGATTTGTTCTTAAATTAATATATACTTATTTGTTAGGTCTATACAAAAATAGCAAAAAATGTCTGACACAATTTTCTTAGGTCCAACTTAAACCATTTACTTGTTTTGTGCAACAAACAGCCCAAGACTCAAAGGCATTAAGTTTACTATTCTATGAGACTAAGAAATGCAAAAAAGATTCATATTTTAGAAGCTGGAACCAGTATTGTTTGGCATTTTTGTTTGTTTGTCCAGAATTGTGGTCGATTCATTTTCTTTTTGTGTATGGATTTCCGACTGGGATTAGCTGACATGAAGATGAGTTGATATGCCACTGTGTGATATCGTTGAAAGCTCCCGAAAGTAATGGCAAGTAGAGTTGGGATGGTGTTGTCAAATACTAGTTCACATATGCAAATTAAAGGGCCTTTAAATCTGTAGGTATCAGACACAGTTTTTTGCGAGGACAGCTGAAACTCTTTGAACGGTTTCTTTTCTGAAAATCCTGACCTCAAAAGTCGCCTGTGTTTATTGGATCCACTCTGCAGGAGCTCGCTTCTCCATCCGATTTCCTTGAAGAGAAAAAGTTTGAAGCCCACCTCTGATCCTTCTAATTAAATGAAAACACAGTGGGCTACACACAGTCAGACAGCTTCTCTCCACACACACACGGGCACACACACACAAAGGTAACCAATGTGGATCTCGATTGGGAACTACACAAAGTTCCAGCATCCAACTCCGCTGTGTCCTCTTATGCAGTACGATCACACACTAGGTTGACATGCAACACGCTGCAGATCATGAGCATAAATAAGCAAGGAAATGTTTTACCTGAAAGAAAGAACATTAATTCAAAGGCATCACACTTGTTCTGAGAAGAAATGTTGCCTCATTAGTGTTACCCCACTGCTTTTACTGAGCAGCAGCGATAGAGAGAGAGAGGCTATGTGCCACTCTTACCACACAGACATCCATTCTCCCGAGACTTTAGTTTGCCTCAGTGACTAAAAAATAGTGCAGATTATTATGGATTCATTATGGTGGCAATGGGTTGAATGCAGATGCCATGAACACCAGAACACTTTGAGCCTCCCTCCGTATAGAAAACATAATGCAATCCAAGAATCCACCCTTTCAAATGTTCACAACGGGCATTTTTCCCCCAGCAGGAAATGAAGCATCATTGTAGGTGGGAAAGTGGGATATGTTCCATTTTTCTGTTTCTGAACATAAAGCTGCTCGTTGTGCGGAACAGGAGGATGAGATTTGGATGAAAAGGAGAAGAGGCGAGGAGACAAGGACAGACAATATTTGGAGGACGGTTGGGCTGCCTGCTCTCATCCCGCGTGATTGACAGATTGGTGCAACGGCTGCACTCACACGAATGCCATCACACGCATTTCCCCAGAAATCTGTCTATCAGCACTGTCTAAGCAGAGCGACAGCCATGACATCTAATCACAGGCGAGCTGGCACCTCATAACTTCTACCTAATGTGCTGCAGGTACGGAGGAGAGAAGGGGAGCACGGCAGACACACCACAATGCTATTTATAGCCCTTTCAGAGGCCACCAGCAGGAAGTTGATCATACTGAAGGGTTAGGGAAGGTGTCACCACACTGTATCACAAGTCTCTCTGTTTAGAAATAGGTCTCTGTTGACAAGATTTAACACTGCGATGCCCCGGTGTTATGGTGATCCATTTTTTCTGGGTTACATTCTTGACAAAGTAACAAAATGAGGGCAGATATACTACACGTACAAGATGATAATGAGTCATTTACATAATGTTGCTACAACATTATAATTACCTGGCAATTAAACAGCTCAAAAGCCTCATTATGGGCTGTCCTGAGGGCTGGTTGGACTGGGACACATACGGTGTGTTCATTCAAGCTTGAGTCTGAGGCTATCAACCGCAGGTCTCCTTTTGTTCATATCACTTTCAGCTGATGCAGAATTTCCCCAGAAGCCGCGTTACGTTGAATTATCACATAATAAAGATAAACTTTTGACTGACACTTGAAGTTTTAAAACACAGAGTGAGATATTGTAGCAGACTCCTGGACAATGTTCAAAATTTGTTTCCCATCGCGTGTGATTTGTCACACTTTTTTGTCCCGAGGGAACTGCTGACACATTGAAAATGCACAAAGGAGTATAACAAGGACATGTGTCATACCTTACACCCTTATTATGCCAGCAATGACAAGTGAGACAAGCAGTCACTTCACCATACGGTATGCTCGGCACTGAAGCTCGCATTGCTCAGAGTTAAGAAGCTCCAACGTCTGTGTGAAATGTCAATATTATAAAAGATGGCATGTGAAATATAAAAATGTAGATTTGAATGTGCAGCAGAGGGCAGGGAACGGGGTGTGTGAATTGGGAGAGTGGGAGAATGGGTAGGGGTGGGTGTTTGTTTATGAATAGCAGACAATGAATGATGGAAGCCCTCCCGAGGGTGCAGGCCCTGAGCACTGCTGTGGGGACTTGGGAACACGCCAGTCTCCCATGCCCTGTGAGATGCCAGTTTGGGTGGGCACCGTTCCGAATGGGTGCTCTCCTCTCCAGGATACACTGCGGGTCCTAAGGGAGCGTCTCCAGGCAGTGGCTGCACCAGAGCAGGGCTGGCTGGAATCTCAATCAGGGACACGAGGGGCAAGAAAAACTAAGTCCGCATACTCCCTCTGTTCTTCCATATTAATGTAACACTCGGGAGAAATGGATGAAGAGAGAAAAATGGCTTATTATGTTCAGGACACCTGTGGAAAAAAAGAATGATTGGATTTTAGAAATGAGTCATTATAATGCCTTTTATATTTTTCTTAATTGGTGGAAAATTACACAAATAGCATATGGAGCTTGAATTTAATGAATTTCAACACCCCTATTTAGGATTTATGAATATTTTTTTGTTACCAGTGGAATATGGCTCTCTGCTTGCATCCTGTCTGCTCACAACCTGTCTGTTTTCTTCTCCTCTGCTCCCGTTCTCGCCTGCGCTGCAACAGGAGCTGCTGAAACCGTGACAGGTACTCTTTCTTTTTTGCTACCTGCTGTTCATTTGGAAGTGCTTTGCTTCTGTCTGTGTCTGTTGATTGGCTGTCCATAGCAGTCTGTTCATCTGTGCATATTTACATGAATGGTTGGTTATGCTGGTGTTTTCTTTTCAGGAAGGAGAAGCAAGCCACACACTCACAACGCCAATCCACACTTTTTTAAAAGCATTTTTAATCCTCAAATCAATATTTCGCCACATGCAACGGCAGATTTCCATTTCATTTTCAGACCACTTGGTTGGTCTGTTGTAAATTACTTTTTTTTTTTTTTTTTAAAGTTTTGCGATAATAGGAGGTGCACCAATTTTATTTGGTTATATCTATCTCTTATAAATAAAACAAAACAAGACTACAGCCATATTCACAGCTGTGCTTTAAATGCTAACATCAGCATGCTAACATGCTCACAATGACAATGCGAATATGCTTATGTTGAGCAGGTATAATGTTTACCATGTTTTCCATTTTAGTTTAGCGTGTTAGCATTTTAACATTTGCAAATTATCAATAAACACACATGGCTAAAAGTTATTCACGTCAGTAAGAAACCTGTATACACTATTTTCAAACAGCATTTATATATTGTCTTCTTCAGGTACATGAGTTGTGTGTGTGCGGCTGTCTCCTCCTTTCTCTGATGTCTAGCAAAACATTGACATCTCACTAGCAGAGGTGTACTAACCCTTCAGTTCTTTGTGTTATTTCCTTTCTAACAAGGTGTGAGGTTACTTTGAATTACTGAAATAAATTCTCTTGTTGTGGCTGGTATTAAAGCAAAATTTTGGAGGGAAAAAAAAGAATAAACACATTTCAACTATTAGTATCACATTGTAATAAATGATAAATGTTGAAAACACATGCACATCTTTTCTTTCCCAGATGCTAAATCCAAATGACTTAAACATTGTAAGGTCTGAGAACACTTTTAAGCACTTCCCTAAAATAGTTTTACATTATAACATTAAAGATTTGTCAGGTACTTTCCTCTAAAGCTGACAATTGTGAGCTGGAAACATGGTTCTCCTAAAGTAAAACATTTAAAAGAGAGCAGTTAACTGTGTTGAGTAGGCAGATACCTTTTAAAACGCTTTATAAGTTGTAACTTGTGCTTCATTAATGGTTAATAAACTATTTACCTTTGTTTTATACTGTAGAGCAAGTATAATTCAGGCCATTTTGGGTTGTGAAAATCCCTTTGGCTGGTGTTTATCCTTTCTGTTGGTAATAATGCAGTTGTAAATGTTTGTAATGCCCTTATTTTCAAGTCATGTTGTAGCATCATTATACAAATGGTTAGGTTCTAAGAGCGCTTGTCTTTGGAAGGAAAAAAAATGGTCAAATTAGTGGGTATGAAATTTTTGAAACCTTCTCATACTAAGGGTCTGGGAGAAAATGGCAGTGCACTAATTATAGCCTGAGACAGAAGGCTTCTTACATGTGAACATCCTTAAAACAGCATTTCATCATGAGGATCAGTGTTTAATGACTGAGCAGGATAAAGACACACAGCAGTGAAAAGGCAGCATCAGAGGAGGAGAGGGAGAAACTTTTATTGTTAATGACTGTCTATAGTCCTGGTTGTTCCTTGAAAGTACACGACTGCTGCAGACAGTAGTGACTCAAGGGAGAGGAATTGGGGGCTGGCTGTCCTGCTCTTTGCTACCCCTTTCATGTCTTTTGATGTGAAAACAAGACAGAAAAGTTCAAAGAGAGAGCAACTTGATTCAAAGGTGCCTGTCTCCGAACTTCTGTTGGAGGAGCCGGTCCGCTAATATTTCCTGATTTCGTCAACTTTTGCTAAAATTGGTAGGGGTAGGTGCTGTTTTGAATTTTGAAAATGCTGCTGATGAGCTGAGCGTCCATGCCAGACACTTGATGCCAGATTGTACATCCCCTCAGAGAGCGCGCAGACTTTTGAAGGTCTGTATTTCCCTCTGACTGTTTCATTCAGTATGTTGTGATGCAGGAACAGGAGGGCAGCCATGTGTAGAGATACAGGCACTTTACTCTTCCAGACAGCTGCTGGAATGAGTGTGAATTTATCAGCCAGTCATCTGTGCCATGCCTCTGCCCACTCCCCCTCCATCCCCACCCACCACCCAGAATTAATGACTGCCTCTCCTCATTTGCACCCAATCATGACCAGGATGCCGAGGCAATTGAAAATGTTTACTCCAATTGCAAAAACCCTCCATGTTCCACAAAGTGGCCTGTTTTCACTTTGATGGGATTGCTAATCACAGCGACGTTATTTATGTGTGTTTTGAATTGGAGATGAGCCTAGGCCAGGATATTGGAGGGGGACCAACCTTGCTTGGGGCTGCTAAACCTTATGGAGAATTTATCTATTGCATCCCCTTTCTCTCAGTCCAACAGATTGGGAGCAGAATAACCTTGCTTTGAGGCTGCTCTATATTGCTGTTTTGCCTGCCAAATATATTACTTTTACAGTGATGAAATAAAATAGACATCAAAACACTTCACATTGCTTTCGCCTCATCTTCTGCAGCACTTACTACATATGCAGAGGAGCTTCAGCACACTTGATATCATTACAAACTTAACACATTTCAGCTCTCCACATGAAGATTATTTTGATTTGATTTGATTATTTCGCACTTTACTTTTAATTGTATTTTAGATGGTAAACAACTTATGTTGCAAGGAGGTAACTATTTCCTCACTCTGCTCTACTCCTTACTTCATTCGCTAATCAGGTTGCCATGTTGCTACCTGAAATTATATCATTCGGTAAAAAATCTGAATTATAATTATACGACTTTAAAGCCTATTGTTAGAGCATATTATTGGCTATTTGTGCATCAATAATTTAGTGCTGTCTGTATGTGTATGTTTATCTTTCTTCATCAGTCCCTGTAAAGCCCACAAGAACAGGATACTGATCTTGACCTAAATCAGATCATCAGAACCGACCGAGAATTACTTCCACCTTATCCAGGTGGCTACTGGCTGTACCCTTATATTTAACAGAAATATATGATGTTGGTAGTGGTCTTTTCGTCTAACTCTCTGCAAAAAATGTTGAACTATTGTATTAATCAAAGGTAATATGTCATAATTTAAATTTTCCCTAACCTTGCCTGGACTGTAAATGCCATGCACATATATTGTAGAGAACAAGAAGAAAGTTCTTGTCTGGCAATAGTTTTGTCAGAAGTTAGAAGTCCATTGCTTACTTGATCTCCGCTCCCTGTGTTCTGTTTACTGTTGCAACTAACATGACCAACAACACTTTGAGAGAGAATTTGAGTGTTTCCAGCGAGGAGGCAAGGTCATAAAAGGCCTAATATGTGTGTTATAGTATCATAACACTTAACAAGATGCACCACCAGCCCACTCCTCTGTAACAACATTGTTAACATAAAAAATTGATTGATAACATCTCCATTTATCTATATACTCCCTCATCCATATACTCATTCACTGTTGGCCTATCCTCTTCCCCTGTTGGCTGTTAGGTGGACTGAACCTAAAACTATCACGTGTACTATTTAATTTGGTTCACGTCTATGGGTATGTCCTTTTTCACAATTTAATATTAAATTATATCAATACACACTAACAAGTAGTAAATATACATCATGGATTAACTACACACCTTTAATGGGCTGCATTGTGTACTTTTTGGGCATAATCTGTGTCTGTTATTACCTATTAGCTTCCTTTTGTCCTGAACGTGATCCCTGGCAGCAGAGTGGAATGAAATGGGTAGTTCATTGCATCAGACAGGTCTGAGGAGCTTTTCTCCACAGGAGGTTAATTTCTTATTGCTTGCTGCATTCACAGAGTTCATTTTGAATCATGTTAGTTTGGCTGTCTATTCCCATTATCACTATCTGGAAATGCAGGTGTTTTTTTCCCCTCCACTTTGTAAATGTCAGAATGCAATAGAGGTGTCTGACAACTCGGGCATGCAAATGTGCTTTTGATGTTTTCTTGGGGCCGTGGCTGAGAGTGCTGTTCCTCCATGGTATGAATGTGAGGCATTAAAACGTGTTCTCCATTCTCCTTACGCTTCTTTGGCTCCTGCCAGATAAATATAGCACAAGGTGACTTTTGATTCTCTTCCTCTTTCCCTTGGAATACGGGGGGAAACAAAGCCAGGCTTTTTGCGTGGGGGTTTTGGTGTAAGGTGTAAGTTACGATGACAAGGTCCAGGGCCTGTCTGTGGCAACAATGCCAGTGTACAGAGAGTGACTCAGATGCTTACAGCACTTTTATTCCTAGAGATACAGAACAGAACAGCTGAGCACACGGAGCACACACTGATCACATGGATCCTCAGATGGAGGGCTCTGTTAAAGCTCAACCATAAACAGCATCCAGCCCAGCTCGTCTCTCTCTCTGTTGTCTCTTTCTCAGTTTAACTCCCCCTCTCTTCCTCCTCCACCCTGCCCATGTCTACTACTTGCCACTTTCTTACACTCTTTCTTTGTCTCTTTTTCTTCCTACCCTCTCATCTCTCCCTACCTTCGTGGGCAGCAGAGCTTACAGCCCATCTGGCACTGACTCACAGGGCCCACTCTGAGCTCGGGTAGATCAATAGTGACAAACATTGCACATGGCTCTTATATTAAAAGGATTAGACATGGGTGCAAACAGAGAATCTACGCAGCCTATTCATGTATCTTTACACTGTGCATGTGTTCACATGCAGCTCCTGGTGTAAGAAATCTAAATATTTGAGGCTGTAAATATCCAGATAGAAATGCTTGTCTCCCTTCTGAAATAAATTTTTCCCATCTGTTGTTGTTTTTTTGGTTGTTTTTGTGAAGTCGAAGGTCAGAACTTGGCAACTGACAATGTGTCTGTGATCGAGGGGGAAATGGCCACCATCAGCTGCAGAGTGAAGAACAACGACGACTCTGTCATCCAGCTGCTCAACCCAAACAGACAGACCATCTACTTCAAAGATGTTAGACGTAAGTGCTGGTGCCCTGGACACAATTTTAACCGTCTCTCCAGAAATCTTGTGAAGTAAGCATGAAATATGCAAACACATTGGTTCCTTCACAAAAATGGAGAGAAATTTTCCCACCACAAAAGGATTACTTGTATAAAAAAGAAAAGCATTTGCCTTAATACTAACTACTTCATTTTTTTTATTTCTGCTATTTCCACCATGACTTTAAAGGACAATTCTGTTTTAAATTCCTGTTTTTATAGTCATGATCATTTTATAGTCCGGACCATTGTTCATATTAGTCCCATGATATCTTTAATTTCACTGAAGATACGGGGACACATGAATCTGGAATGAATGAGATATTAAAGAGACAATGAAAGTTCAGATTATATTAACCAAACCATTTGACCTTGCGGAGCCATTTTATCATTAAACCTATATATACTATAGGGCATACAGGCATTAGGGCTTGTATCAAGGTAGTTTATTTATCATGATACAACACAGGGTTGTATATTGGAATAAGGTTTGGAGTCCCTTCTTGCTCACACACAGAACTTAACAGATAATTAAATGTAGGCTTATTGTAAAATATGATAATATATAAAATAAATAAAAATTCAATAAACTATATATATATATATATAACAACAGTGTTGTTAACCCGCTAGCCACGCTATCTCCCGCAGTTTACTTGCAATCACACATTTTTTTCACAACTGCTTTTTGCCATAGCACGTTAATACATTTGCCAGGCACAATCTGGTGTGACTGTGTTCTGTTGATTTAAATGGATGCATTTATATAGCACCTTTATCCACGGAGCTTTACAATTTGTCTCTCATTCACCCATTTTACTCAGTAAAACGTGATTGTCAGTGACAAGCTAACATTACAGCAAACAGACCACTGGAGCACAATGCATGGTCTGTTATGCTTTTACAATTTTAAATATAAAGTGATGTTTGCATTTTGAATATTTATTGTTTTCCCATGAAAATAATAAAATGTGTCAGTCCTTATATGTATGTATACTATGTAAAAATGCAACAATAATTATAATGGGAATTTTCTTTCACTGTAAGTTTTAATTTTTAGCTGACATTAAGATTTACTTACCAAACACAGCCTTTCCCCACAATTTATTCAAATAATTTAAATCAAATCCAATCCTTACCCAAAGCACATGGGAGTTATGGCACAGTGGCCTGACTGTATTTGCTCTTTAAAATTTGTAAAGTGGTAAAAAAGCATCTTCCTCACATCTGTGTGTCTACAATATCTAGTCTCCATTTCAGAGACTAAATTTGTGAGATTGTGTTGCACAGTCGTGTTTTTAAAGGTGTGTTTTTGTGTCAATTTCACATTTCAGGGCATCCCGTGCTAAAGGAATTTTTCATCAGATATCAGTACAAAGATCAGCTCTAGCTTTAGGTTAGGTTTTCTATGCAAACGTGATTTCATCTGTCCTTGACTTTTTGGCTCTTTTACACAAGTCATTAAGCTCTGAATGCGGCAAGATTAATATGAGATAATACACAGTACTACCATAATGGGAATACCTCTGTGTCCTTGTCACTGTTCGATTTTACGATAATCTCTTAGATTAGGATATTGAACATTATGATTATGCATGAGCATATGGGCCACTTCTACTTCGGAGTAGAGTTTTTGTCTGCTTTTTTACTTGTTTGTATCTGGGATCTGAGCCAAGATTCAAGGTGAACGAGAAACACCCCTCATTCAGTCTATATTGCATCCCAGCTGTTATTTCACAAGTCTAGGTAGCGGGACGTTTTCCATTTTCTCACTTGCCAAGATCATCAAGGGAGTTTGAGTACACATCTTAGTCATATTTGTACAAAATACCCGAAGCTGCCTGAGAATATGGCAAAGAATGGATTTATATAAAGTATAGGTCATGTTGTGCTCTACATCTCAAACATATTTAGTAATAGATTTATACTGTTGAGGAAATCTTTCCACGAGGTAAAGACCTTTTCCACTTCTTTCTTTATTAAGATGCTTCACAAGAGCCTTTAAAAATGTATTTTTCTGACCTTAAATCTACATATATGTCAGATTTATGACAGGTAGATAATGCGTAATATGGCTGCTGCTGAGTGTTTGTGTTACTTGTAATGGGGTCTGGTGAACTCACTGTACCCAATGGCAGTGCTATTTCAGGCTCTGTTCCTAAAGGACTGCTGGTTCTGTGGGGACCCCCCTCAGCCAGTGGCATTGTTACCTGTCAACGGGGCCGCTCGACACAGTGGCAGATCTTTGTATACAACGAAGTAAACAACAGCGACATAGAGAAACACGAAAAGCTACAAGAGGAACAGCAGCTACAAGTGAAGTGGCAGCCACAGAAACACAAACGCACACAAATACTACAATGATAACAGCTTTACAGTGCCTGTGAAGGCCAAATAAACACATTTCTATTGCAGCAAATAAAGATGAATTATGTCATAGGTATAGAGGCTGAGCGAGGGTTGTTGGAATGAGCCATTTATTCTGCTAGATATATGCAAAATGACATGCAATTTCATCTGAAATGGGAAAATGAGCTTTTATCAGCAAAGGTGGACCTCTATGGTGATGCAATATAACACCATTATTTATACACTGAATCTTTTCTCAGGAGTTGTCTGACTTTGTGTTACAAAGGTTTAATGTTTAAAGAAATCCTCTGCCAAAAGACTTTCCTTTTAGCATCAGATAGTACTCCCTGTAGGTTAAGAAGCCCCTGAAAACCTGGTTTAAAATCTTAAGTATTTCTCTATTACATTAAAAGTTAAGACTTAATAAGCAACTTCAAACCAAGTCTGTAAATGGATATTATTTATATATACTTAATAGGACTGTGTAGGTGTTGTTTGAGCTGATTTGATTGACACCGGCCCTGTATAATAAGCAACAAACGCACAACTGTCAACACATTTTGATTGAAATGTTCCTAAATTGAGATTGGTGCTATTTCCATGTACATTTTTTAACTTGCCCACCTCCCTGCCCACCTCAAACTAGTAAGAAAAGCAAGGAAACCATTTCAGGGCCCTTAAAAGTTGACCCTAAAAAGTTCCTTCATGAACAAAGTAAAAATCAGCGTTGCAGCTGCATATGTCAGTTTTCTTGGTTACAACAGATTCCCATAGTGACAAGTTTTAACTTCTCTGTCCAACTATATGGGAACTAAGTTAACCCTGCACGAACACAGTTTAGAGAGGCAGCAGAACAAGATACTGACTCGCCTTTTAGACTAAGTCGTTACCTATACACATCCAGCAGCGTTAATGGAGTTATCTTCATGGCATCTGTTGAATGCAAGTCCAATATTCACTCTCTTGTAGCTTTTTGGTCTCCACCAACTTCTGAGGGAACCAAAACAGTACATTTGGGGGCCAAAAATCAAAACAATGATTATATAAGTCACATGACTGCATCATTTCTAATTTTACTTCAAGCAGGGAGAGAGCACAAAATGAGCTGAAACATCTAGTTGATTGTAGATTAATCAGCTACTTAGAGAAAATTAATTAAAGATAATTTTACCTTGTTTTTAAAGCAACAACTACTAAAAGACTAACTGGCTTCAGCCTCTTGAATGTGAATATTTTTTTGTTGGTCTTCTATGACAGTGGTTCTCAAACTTTTTCACATCAAGGACCTCTATACTGACACAAATTAGACCACAGAGTCCCATTTGATAAGATTTTATCCCAGGGTCCCCCATCTAATAGGATTTTTGCATTTAGATGTTTTACTACAGAAAGTGTATGAAACTTAATGACCAACTCGTCATACATTCTGTCATTGTGTTACTTATGGATGGATTATAATAAAAATGAATTATTCCCCTTTTTTTCTGGGGACCCCCTGGACCCCTTTTTGAGAACCACTGTACTATGAGACTGACTATCTGTGACTTTTGGACTGTTTGTCTAACATCACAAGAATCTGTGATGGACTTTTTCTCTATTTTCTGCTATTTTATAGAGCAAATGATTAATTGAGGAAACAATCATCTGATTAATCACTAATGAAAATAATAGTGAGTTGCCACCCTAATATGTAGACATGTTTTGGTGAAAATCTACCTAAACACTGACTAATAAATACTAGATACTGTGCACCCTCTCTTATGTAAGCAGTCTGCCAGTTATGAAACTGCCTCGTATAAACTACATTCAGCGTCTCAGAAGTGAAGGGTTTCCCTCCCTAGCAGGTGCTTCGACTCTCAAAGTGCATCAGTGTCATTGTTTCCCTTTGAGAAGAGACTTCCAAAGAGCTCTCAAATTATATCTGAGGATGAGGTTTCATGTTGACACTGCCCCGAGACCTTGGATAATGATCATGATGCTAAGTGTAAAGCCTGAAGGGAATAACAAACTCCCCGTGCTTTAAACAGTGGCTGAATAGAGTTCGTTAGCTTGGCAGATGCAGAGAGGACTTGATAAAGAAGGCAGGTCAAAACATCAAAAGGGCTCCCAATCAAATCAACCAAAGCTGTTTATGTAAAAGAGTGCTCAGGGATGAAGGCTGACCCAAATGAAAAGCAGAGTAAAAACTTTGAGGGAGATGGCTAACCTAGTTTGACGGCATTAAGAGAAAATTCAGCCAATCTATACCAGCATTAGTTTACAGATTCCTGGCTACTTTTGATTTAGAGTTTCAGGCCGCCAACCCTCTCTACCTCTGCACTGTGATTTAATTCATTATGTATGTTTGAATGCCTCTCCCTTTTCTGGAATATGTGAGTTTGATGCATTCATCCATGACCAGCAGCAGCCCATTTTAAGAGTTCCTAGCTTGTTAGGAGTCCTCATGAGCACTCTTCACACTTTCCTGTCTTTGCGAGTGCTCTGTGGACTGTAAAGCTACTTTATAAATCAACTTGTATGAATCATTTTGAGACTCACTTTTCTTTTACTCAATTAAGGAGAAAGCCCACAAAAGGGCAGCCCCCCCCCCACTTCCCCATCTCTGTCTTATTTTCTCCTTGTTTCTCCTTTGTCTGCCTCCATCCCCTCACTCATTCTTACCCCTCTCCTGTTCTAATTTTCCCCTACCTCCTTCTTCCTTCTCACTCCATGTCTCACGTTTGTGTCCCTGTACTCTGTATCCTCACTGTCTCTGTCTCACATATATCCCCACAGCTCTGAAGGACAGCCGGTTCCAGCTGGTGAATTTCTCTGACAACGAACTGCGGGTGTCTCTGTCCAATGTGTCACTCTCCGATGAGGGACGCTATGTGTGCCAGCTCTACACAGATCCTCCTCAGGAAGCCTACGCAGACATCACTGTCCTGGGTAGGTGTGAGGATGCATGTGTGAACCTCACACATATATCACACCCATCCTCACACGCACACATGCTTTTATTGTATTTTGCTCCATTGTAGATAGTGAATATGAAATAACAGTAATCTTTGAACCTATTATCTTAAGCAACTGAAACAAAATGTCAGCGAATTTGCTCTCGCGGTGCTCAACAGCGTAACGAAAAGGAGCAGATGCTGAAACTGATGGCTCAGACCACGTTGGTTTTGGCAGCTGTGTTGACTCTGTGAATCCCGGTGAATGTTGACTTGGCTGCTCCAAACGATTCCCTATTGAGAGTCAGCTGTGCCACACTTTGACGCTTTGGAGTGAAATTACTCTAGTTAAGCTTTATTATACATGCAGACATCCTGGGGGATTGAAAGGAATTAAAAGCACTTTAAAGTAATTACTCTAGTTGTACAATTGAAACCTAGCTGCAGTATTTCTGAACCAAGGGCTGCATTGAAGAGTCCTTGAAATAAACACCCCACTGACTTTCAAGTAACTGGAGTTTAGCAAGTTTGCTGTGATGACTAGTGCAAGGGACAAGGGACAACTGTGCCTTATCCTATTTTGTGTAAACCCATTTAATAGGATGTATGATGATTAATAGGATATAATGACATATACTTATATAAAATTGGCATAGACTTTTAGGTAACACTTTATAATAAGGTAATGCATAACTAATGCACAACTCATGGCATTTTAAATTGCTCTTTAAGTTGCATGTTAGCATGCTGACATTAGGATTTAGCTCAAAGCACCGCTGTACCTAAGTACAGCTTCACAGTTGTTAGCTCACAGTTACGTCATACATTAAATTATGCTGCCAAATTAGCTGGAATTAGGGACATGCACAGAACTTTTGAAGGGGCTGTTGCACTAACCTGGCTTCTTGTAACTAGTTTAAACAAAAATATGATTTTGCATTTTGAGTCATCTATCAACTGATGGTCACATCATTTCTCCATGGCACAGTGGTCCTACATTAAATTGTTGTTACAGACAGCAGAAGCTACAGTATGTAAAGCATTCAGACTTTGAGAAAAATACCATATTCAACCTTCAAACATAAATTTTTGAAAGATGATTATGAGTTGATATTGCGTACATTAACAAAAAATTTAAGAGTAGATTTTGCTAATTTAAGCCATTGGAAATTTAATATACTCATATATCCATGAATGAATACCACGGAATGTCTGGACTCTATAACAAACATTTCTGTCTAGGAAATTTACAGAGATAATAATATAAAGACAGTGTCTGAGAAAATGCCATCTTTGTTTTCAAACCAATTCCATTGTATTTCTATAGCACTTTAACAAAGCGTTCGTGTTTTGATGCTGCATTGTCCACAGCATCTATCTTTCCTTTTATCCCATTCTTACTGTTATGACCCTTTATAGTAACTCTCTCACACTCTGCCATTAACACCCACATATGTACCTGTCTGATGTGTCTCCTGATGCTCAGCATGCTCTACCTCACTCGTTGGTCTGGAGCCTTGTGGCTGCGCTTCATCTTAAATTTAATTAATAGAATCAGAATTAAGAATACCATTGTCCACAGCATTTTCCATTCAGAATTGCTTGGGCATGGTAGAACTACTATTTAAGATAGCAAGTACTTTGCTAGTTCAACAATTAAAATCATTTAAATTCCCAAATTATGCTGACAGTGGCTTGACTCAATGCTTCCTGGTGAATCCCAGGAATTAGACTGGAGTAGGCTATGACTAGTTTTGTATGTAAAAAATGCACTAAAATACAGAACAATGACAAAATGTCATAAAATTTTACAACAACATATTTTAGACCCATGTTTCCCTGTAGCTATTACAAGTATTTTACTTGATGACCAGACTCTCAAATGCTCTCTGGAGCTTTTGGGGTTAGCCCCCTACAAAAAAGCACTAAAACTATTTCACAATACTATGCACGGATATACTGTGTATTTATCATTGATTTAAATATTTGTTTTTAGATTGTAATTAGCTTACTTCCAACTTTAAAAAATGCTTCTGAGACAATACGCCTATACTTCTCATTAAATAAATTATGTTGGAAATGGTTTTCTACCATTTCTATCATAATGCCTTACCTGCTGGAAGTCTGAATCCAGCTTTTCAAAGTTAGCTCCTTAGCTGCCTCCCTCAGCTCTTTCCCTCTCTAGGTTACTGCCTGTATGTTAGCTAGCTAGCTAGCTGGCTGTGGCTAGAATCCAGTTACATAGAAAATTACATTTCAGATTCATGCAGTTGATCAGAACAGCACCTGTTCTTACAGAAATATGTACGTAGCTTTTCATCAAACTGGTAGTAAGATGCAAACATACTACAAGTTTTTGCACGAGCTTGTTTATGTCTCATTTACAAGCTAGTTGCCAGTTGTAAAGTCAGGGGGAAATGGGCAGACATGTTAAAGCTTAAAAAACAGCTACCCAATAACATCACTGATGATACTATTTTGCAAATGATACTTAGTCACTATGATACTTAGTCACTAAGATTGAGTATGAACAGGTTTTGCTTTCAGAGAGGCTGATCAATGCATGTTTCTGAAACAAATTTATGTAAGCAGATTCCACCTTCTTTGGTAGCATATAAATGAATATATGTAGTACCTGTAACATTGATTCATTGATGATCAATTAAGTGTTAAGTCTTAACACAAACTCATAGTGATTTCTTTATGGCAAGAACTTTAAACATGTATTTTGTTCCCTTAAGTGTTAACAAATGTTGTGTGTGTGTGTGTGTGTGTGTGTGTATGTATATATATATCAATGTTGTCATGCTGGTGTCTCCAACTGTTGCTGTGGTTCAGTCCCACCAGGCAGCCCAGTCATTGAGAGCCGAGAGGACCTGGTCAGCGAGGGAAACGAGACGGAGCTCACCTGCACAGCCATGGGCAGCAAGCCAGCTGCCTCCATCAGATGGATGAAAGGGGAGGAAGAACTGACAGGTCAGTAGAATAACAGCCTCCCCCGGTTTGCTTCACATGCCCCAGGCCTGTCCACTTCCCTATAAGTCCCAGTCTCTGGAGGTGCTTCCTCTGCGAACAAAATGTAGTTCTCCTCTAAAACATTAATGTGTGTTGGACTCATTACAGTATGTTACTGACATGTATAGGAAGTACAATGGAAGATAATTATGCCTGGCAGTGCATTCTTTCTTTCTTTCTACCTTTTTGCTAGTGTGTGAAATCCCCTATCCATTTGCTTGACTGCTTGCTCAGCTACAGCATGTAATGACCAAACTATGCACACACAACTGCAAGAGCTGTAATCCAGGATCATGTTTTTTACATTTTACAAAGCATTTGCCTTAAAGGCATTTTCACACTGTGTTAAGATTTAAAATAGCATAAATATTTACTGATCACATTTAGTTACACCTCGACTGCTGATTGATTTCTATGTTTTTAAGACTAGACAGCCTTTCTTTAAACAATCTATACATAGTCAACATGGTTATGAGCTCATATCTGCACATTTCCCCTTCATTTCAGTGCCTTTCAGCCAGCTGTAGGCTGTTGCAGAGAGGGGTATATAATCTGGGGTGGGGAGAATTCCTTATTACCTCTCAGTTATGATTAGGGGTCATCAATTATTCATTAGGTACGTATTGTACAGCAAAGAGGGGATATTCATTTTAGTCATATTGTATTTACACAGAGTGGATATCTCTGGGCTTGTTGTCAAATTATATATGTATTAGAATGGAGAGGATTCATTTGGCTTGTTGAGAGATGAAATATTTAGACAAGAGCGAATCTGAAGCTAAATGCCATCTGTGCCTCCAGTGTTCCCTACAGGAGTCGAAGTCAATTTCTGTTTATGAGTTGTCAAGTGTTGTGTAGGGGAGGGAGAGACAACAGGATGGTTAGATCAGCGAAATGCCACTGACATGCTGAGCAGGGCTAATCCATAGTGGCAGTGGATACATAAAAAGAGCCAGAGAGTCATGTCCTCCTGTACCCCAGGAAACACAAATCACTAGTCATTATGGACGTACTAAACAATTCATTAGCCACTGCACTTTACAGAATTCTACTTTATAGAATCTCTGTGATCATGGTTGTATTACGTCTGTGTGCAGGCAAGACGTCTGCCAGCTAATTTAAACACACTTTCAAATTGGTCGAATTGGTTTTGCAACCATTTATCATGCTGGCAGGTAGGGGAGTGATGGCCTGAGAGAGAGACTCAACACACAAGGTGGCAAAATGCTTGTTAGCATAAATGACAGCTGCAATATTATTTAAATGTAGTGGTGCCTGGTGCTCAGCTGCTGCTAAAGCACAGGAGGATGTTCAAATCGGACAGACGGATTTAAATTATGTGTTTTAAAATTTGTATGTGAAGCTGTGTGCAGGAGGTTTAATCAGATTTTTGAAACGTTAGTAGACCTTGTTTTTCAATTTTTTAAAATTAGAAATATTTCGATTTTAATTGGTGGAAACAGCTAGAAATGTCATGCTTTTTACAAACACTTCTATAGGATGCACTCCACCATTAAAGCTGCCATTTCAAAGTTGATTTAAAAAGATTTTGTATTATGGTAACAATCGAGCTTGGGAACTAGACAAATCTGCCCATGTTTCATTTGCTCTGGCAGATATATCTGGCCCCCCACCCATTCAGACAGATTTTCACCTGTCCTGGATCCAGTCAGGCCAGTCACAACCATTTATCTAATATGGGGTGGGTTTGATACATTGACTGACAGAGGAGCGCCGTTGAGACATTTTTGTAAACAACCAAAATGGCTGCTGCTGGTGTACAGAGTTCTGTTACAGCCACTATTGCATCAGTATTAAATTTATTGGATGGTATATTACCTCTAAACGAAGATCCAATAACTGTACTTAAAGCTTTTCTTTATAAGAAAGATGTTTTGCCGTGCTTCTGACAGTAAAACTGGCCTCGCTGTTCACATTATATTGCTCTGATTGGCTGTACGTCTATCCAATTGCATCCAGAGGCATTTTGGTCTGTGACAGTTGATAACGCCCTTTAGAAAACAAAAATTAACAGAGAGGATCCAGACTAATTCATGAAAAGGTCTGGCAAAGCCAGGCTATCAGTATTCAGTAAAAGATCTTTTGGGAACCTCTTAGCAGATCAAATAAAAGCTTTATTTACTTTTTTTACTCTTTTAATTGTATATGTTTGAAAATTACAAGAGCTTAAGAATAGTTTGTCTCTTGACCTCAGGGACTTTTATTTGTGAATAAATATTATAAACTCAAGGCTCAGAAACCCACTTTTTTCTAAGCTTTTGACAGTGTCTCAGCCTCTTCTTCAGTGAAATGGCTGTGCAATATAAGATAATCCTGAGAGAAAGTTGAACAGCAGTTGCAATAGAAAGTAGGAAAGACTGCAAGTATAAACAAATACACTGAATAAAAGAATAAAGATAAGGTTGAAAGCTGGAGAGAAATCAAGTTAGTTAATGACAATACATTATAAGAGCTGCTTTTGTAACTAATGTAAATAAATCAGTGTTAAGTTTTTAAAACTAATATTGATACAACTTCCCTAATAAGGCGCCATCTATAGAGGCTTTATGCTGTAATTCATGGTTTTATTAGTAGCTAATAAATAATTTACTAATCATTTACAGATATGCCAATAAGAACAACATGTAGGTCTCCAGGTTATAAAAATCCTCCAGCGCTAACTAATTTAATTAATGTCAAAAGAAAGTTTTTTTTAATTTTTTATTTCAGGTTTATTTAACAGGGACAATGCACACTAATAATTCATAAATAAATGTATAATGTGCCTATTAATTGTTTATAACGTATCTGTAAATGATTAGCAAATTATTTTTTAACTATTAATAAAGCCGTTTATTATAGTGTATAAAACCTCTATAAAGGATGGCTTGTTAATTAAAATTAACTTGTGTAATTGTTATACCATACAGATGTAGAGTGTAGAGTGAGTTTAGCACCTACTTTATCTTAACTGTAGCCTGCTTCACTAATGGCAATACCACTGCTACGTTATAGTGTTTAAACAGCTTGATCAGTGGCTGCTTTTCAGCATGTTGGCAGGCAGCAGACCCGGGTTAGAAAATGACTGAAAGAAAATGTCACCCTGAGAAGAGGCTATGCTTGATTGCACTGGGATTGATCAGTGGTTGATACTCACAAGAGCATTTGATTTGACATCTCTGCTGCAACACTCAAATCTCCTCTGCATTCAAATTCGAGTCCTTCCACGACCTGATCCACAGTTGTTTTCCTCATCTGGGTTTGGATGACACTGATAATTGACAAGCGTTGGTTGGACCGTACATTGATAATGGCTTCGTCAGTATGAGTCTGATCTTCAAAACATGACTCTGAACTTTCAGAAGTTTGCCAACTGTTATGTTAAAATGATTTTGTAAGAAGAATCATAACCAAAAATAATTCATACTAGAAGTCAAATTAATGAGATGAGAGAGCTGAGACGAGTGCAAGCAATGCTATTTTCCTGCCCTTGAAATGTGTTTTGCCTGTCCCTTTGGTATTTTGCATGGTGCAGTGGTCAAATGAGAGACACAGCATCATGGGACTTTCATACAGACATGGTAGTACAAGGCAGGGTGGTGCAATCTTGCAAAGTCTCTTTAACACTGCATGCAAGCAATGCAGGTTTTTTTGCACAAAATCAGCTGTAATTTTAGTGTTGTGCGTAAATAAATTCGAGAATTAGAATGACTTTCCTTGCAGTTGTGACACCTGACACTGGTTGCACCACCTGACGTTGCAACTTATTTCAAATTTAACAGGCTCCTAATATGACAACTGTATAAGAATTTGCCTTTGGTAGCAATGTCATACATATATTGTTTTGATAAAATAAAAGGTTTTATGATAAATTAAAGTATTATATTAGTTGTACCACCTGACATGGAGAGTGAACCAGCCTAAATGTAACTTCAACATATGTATTTTTATCATAATTTGAAAAAGATATACAAACCTTTTCACTCAGACATAAAGATCACTTGGGGCCCTTTAGATGATGCAATATCCTATTACTGTTAATAACTTTTCACTTCAGATTAAAAGTCGCATGCTCACAGTTGTGCCACCCTGACAATTGAGAACATGCAAATTGCTGGACAGCTGAAAGTTTTTCAGTTATCTCAACAACTTCAAATCTATTGGTACTTGTAAAATTTGGTTTATGTGAAAGGTTTAAAGAGGTGGTATTATGCTCATTTTCAGGTTCAAAATCTTAATTAGGGGTTGTACCAGAACAGGTTTACATGGTTTAATTTTCAACTCCATATTTTTCCTCATACTGCACATTGCTGCAGCTCCTCTTTTCACCCTCTGTGTTGTACACTCCGCTCTTGAGCTACAGAGATCTTGCATGTACAAAATCTTTGTTGGGAGTTGTACATTCGCAGACTACTAGCCAATCAGAAGCAGAGAAGGACGGGTTGTAAGAAACAAGGTAATGTGATCCAAATCATAGCCGCTTCAGACTGCGACTATAACCTAGCAAGTTATTACCACTCCACAACACCATTGTTCCACATTTTACAATAAACCACTACAAAAATCACCATATTTCAACTCAATTTTACATAAAAATTGGCCAAATAATTTGAACGGTAGCTTTTACATCGGGTGTAACATTATCATTATAGCTATAACTTTAGCTGTGTTAGCCAACGTTTACAACAACTCCGCACTTGAACAGTCTGTGAAGTTACATTACTATTTTTATTTTAAATATAATTCACAAATAATAAAGCATACTTACAGGTTTTTTAAGTTAAAACTTTCCAACATTACTCAGAATGTAAAGACAGATAAGCGGTATGAAAACCTTACAGCTGTGTTTTCCTCTGCCGTTGCTGCAGCGGTCTGTGTGACGGCGGGAGCAGAGGGCTCTCTGAGCGGGCGGCTGGCCGGCCTCGCAAGCTCCTCCCACGGGTTGGCACAGGCAACCCCCGCAGCCACTTGCGGAGCTCCTCAACTCCGAAAATATTCAAGCACATTTTTGTTCTGCCATCACTTCTCGTAAAACTGTCAATATTCGAAATCTACACACTTAATTTCTCACCTCAAAACTTCTCAGAAGTGGATTTAGTGATGAAATTACATACTGTAAAATATAAAACTTTCTGTTGCTGGCCTCTGTCTGGCACACGCAATGATGATGCAGTTAATAGTGAATATTTCCCTCAGCTCACTTGGAACCTCAACGGAGGTGAGGTGATACGAAAAAAAGTACCTGGAAGCAGGTACAGGTACAACATTTCTACAATGGAAAACCAAACAAAGGCGAGTCGAGCCAAGTCGAGCTGGTACTATGCAGTGGAAAAGGGGCTTAACTAAAATCAAAGGGCCTCCGTTCAGACTAGCTTGGTTTGAGGGTGTGCCTGACCCCGCTAGCCGCTTGGCAAGCTTTATGACGCGTTTTCATTGTGACGTCACAGTGAAGGAGGAGAAACGGCTGGACTACAAACAAGCTGTTTTCAGAGCAGTGCTTTACCACCTCTTTAAAACAAAACATCTTGCCACAGTATTTTATTTTGAAATTATTATCCTTAAAACACAATTTAAAATCTTTTCAAAATCTGTTTATTTGCACAGACGGTTGCACCACCTGACATTTTGGGGGTTTGAGATGCCAAAACATGAAATAATATATACCATTATAATGTAGTGAAAATGTATTCAAACAAAATAATTGAATAACATGATATATGTCATGAATTGATCAAAATTACTAAAAATATGCATGCCATGTCGAGAACAAATGTCAGGGTGGCAAGACCAGGGAAATTCTGAGTTTCTCTTAAGGATTAATGATGAATTTAATCTAATTTACAAAGGTTGTCAACAATTATAACCCTTCATCAGGGAAACTTTCAGTCAGTAACAGTTTGGGGTGGTAACAGAAGGTCAGTCTGTATAATGATGACACTAACACACACATACTAAATGGTGCACTATATTCATGTATTTTGTATCCATTTGAATGGCCAGGACACATTATATCTAACAATTGCAGAATGTTTTACAGTACAGCAGACAGCAGCCACAGCAACTACAAAGTCAACAACACGGAAGTAATGCATGAGAACTAATCGAGATGGAGGCTGAGAGAAAGCCCCTGGACGAGAGAGAGATGTTTCATAGAGGGGCATCTCTCTGTCACTGAGAGACTCCAGTCTGCAGTGTAATTCATACACTTCACTGTTAAACTCAAGATCTGCAGAGTATTACAGAGGCTTCATGATAAAAGAAAATGTTTACATCACATTGACACTGTCCGTATTCACATTCCCTCTCTCCACATGAGCTCTCTCGCTTGACATTGACACGTGCATCGACTTCATGAAAAGTTTACCATGTTTCAGCGAAAGGCACCTTATATAGCTAAATAGCTTATTTTATTGACGCATCTCTCTCGTTCTTGTTTGTGCAGCTCAAGCACACAGAGCAACTCCTTATGGTCAGTTGGACCACTTCTTGTCTTATATTTAATTTATCAAACTTTCTTACCTCAGCTCAGTCAACCTCAGATGTTCACTCAGTCACAGCTTTGCGGCATTAACACATTGGGATGAGTTCGACACCAAAGATTATAATATTTTGCTTCCATGACATCTGGTTCTACACCATCTGTCAAACATCCAAAATACACATTTAGGTGTTTATATTAGTTCAGATTTATTTTCTGTAAAAACACTTAATTGGATGCCTCATTTGCATATATAAACATACCATTTCAGATAACTTGTAATATAAAAGTGTCTTAATATAAGCAATGAACTGAAGAAGTTAAAAATGTTTATCCCATACACCTGCAGTGTCTTGCAAAATGTAATTATTTTTTCTCATGCCACATTGTACCTGATGCCCTGATTTATAGAAAATTTTATTCCTAAAATAAATGGTGAAAATGTTGACATCGAAAATTTCATCTGAAAAAATCTTTAATATTTCACTAAAATGAAACAAGAATTTTGAACCTGGCTTTGTCCAGTGTTCATATTTCATTTGTATGCAAATTAGCTAATCTTTTTCTCATTTGCATATCTAAATTTAACATTTCAGAAAACTTGTAACACAAAAAATGATTGTCTTATTGTAAGAAATCAACTGCAGAAGTTTTCATGGTGATGTCTTATTAGTTAAATGTTCTTCCCTTAAAGTTTTTGTTTGACAGATATATATATATATATATATATATATATATATATATATATATATTACATTTTTACATTTACTCATTTGGCTTTTAGCCAAAGCGACTTACATTTGAGGAACAACATACAAGCATCAACAGAGCATCAAATACAGATCTACAACTGACAATACATACTAGTAAGAGCAGCAATAAGTACTAGTAAGAGCTCATGGTACATCAATGGGGTAAATACCTAGGGAAGGAAGTAAGAGTTAATAAAAAGTGCAATCAAAACAAAAAAGTGCAATCAATACAAGATCATTGTAGGGGATAGAAGAAGAAGAGCACAGGACGTGCATGTTAGAGGTTAGGAATTAGAGGTGTTATAAGAGGAAGTGTTCTCGGAAGTGATGAGTTTTCAAGAACATCTTGAAGTTAGAGTGGGACGCCACTGCTCTGATGGCGTGTGGAAGCTCGTTCCACCATCGTGGTGTCACAGATGAGAATAGCCGGGACTGGGATTGCTTTGTGTGAAGGGATGGCATAACCAGGCGGCGTTCGTTGGAGGAGCGTAGCGGCTGAGAAGGAACGTAAGTTTGTATTATGGAGTTTAGGTAGATGGGTGCAGACCTAGTAGTCACTCTGTATGCAAGCATTTGTTACTTGAATTTGATTCTGGAGGCCACGGGGAGCCAGTGGAGGTCCCTGAGTAATGGAGTGACATGAGTCTTTTTGGGCTGATCAAAAACCAGACGTGCTGCTGCATTCTGAACCATTTGTAAGGGTTTCACTGCACAAGCTGGAAGACTTGCTTGGAGGGCATTGCAATAGTCGAGGCGAGAAATAACCTGATCGATAGTTCTCAACTTGAGTTGGGTCAAGTGAGGGCTTTTTGAGCAAGGGTGTAACCCGGGCCCTTTTGAGGTTCCTGAAGCCAGAGAAGTATTTATCACATGAGGGATTGTCGGGACCACAGTAGGAGATATGGCTTGGAGGAGATTCGTAGGAATCGGGTCCAGTGGGCATGTAGTTGGACGGCTACGGGTCAAGAGTTCTGATGCTTCGCTCTCTGTGAGAGGAGTAAACGAGGAGAGTGAATATATATATATATATATATAATTTGCATTTTATACATAACAGTGGAACACTATTCAATGCTTTTGAATCACTGTGATTATTTTTTGTGTGATTCTCTACACACTTGCCATTTCATGATACACAGATTTTTGGAAAATATCCATATTAGTATTGTGATTTAAACATTTCATCCAACCTACCACATTTGCTCTGTGCCATCTTTTCCTGAGCCATTTCAGTAATGTGGCTCTGTGATTGGTATGAGACAATTATTGTGACTGGCTGAGAGGATAATGACTCATCATCACACCCCTCCAATTGATATTCCACTTCACCCCACTGTTTGGACGCACAGGGCGGGTGTGCTTGGAAACGCCCTCATTGACCTTACAAATGTGACCTAGTGCGGTGCTTTAGGCTTTGTGATTGCATGATGACAATGGAGCTCTTAAATCTGTGTTGTTATTTGGCGAGGAACAAGAGGGCATTGTTCTGTGAGTATTACCACTGATCACAGCACGCTCCTTTAACTAAAGATGGTTGGGATTAACTAATTTGCGGTGTGTCACGTTAATGCCTGCAGAGTTTTTTAGAGTGAAGTCAAATCACTTAGATATAGGCTATAGTTAACAACTTATGGGGGCAAAGACATTTATAACAGACATTATGTGTTCTATAATCTGTATGTTAAGGGTTTAAATGTCAGTGAATACCAGTCAGTGCTTCTGCAGCAAAATAACAAGATAATCACTGTTTCTAAATCAAAGCCATTTATTTTCTAAGCATTCTCATCACGCAGCCACACTTTTTATTCCTGCTGTTCATCATTATGTTACTATTATTACTTACTTGCTCTTCTCTAATGGTCAGTGAGCTTTTCAAACAGCCTGTTCTCTCACCGCAGTTGGCAGAGTGGTCAAGTTTAATGCCCCTCAAGCGCATTGACCACTGACCAGACCCGGTACTTTAAATTTTATGCAGGCAGGTCTTGGGTGGGTGGGTGGGTGTGTGTTACACGGGGTTAATATCCATCAGGAGGCCACATATGTGTGTATTGGTGATCATCAACTGTGGAACAACAGTGTTTTGCCCTCCATGAGTCCAGCTGGGCTCCCCTGTGACAAGGCTGAAATGGAAGTGTGCTGCAGGTCAGAGTGGGGCTGTAATTATTTCCTCACTTCATTACGTGCGAGTAAACCATCACACTCAGCACTGCAGCTAATGCGATGCCCCTGTGGCATTGTAATGCTCTCTAAATGAATGCCCCTCTGACAGCCCAGGGCCTTGTGGGCAGCAGATTACTGCAGGGTTAGCCCCAACAATGCTCAACCCTCAAGCTGCAGTGCATTCATTATCAGGCTTATATGACCCAGCCGCTCCTCGCTGCTCTAGTCAGAATCGAAGGCCTCGGGCCCGTCTGAATGCTCTAAAGTCTCGTTTGGGAACCACATCACCGAATCATAAATTAAATGTAAATGCCATTCAAAAGCACTCCAATTTGACAGGTAATGTGCTCTTAATAGCTATGACTATTTGCTCATTATGGTCACTGCAGGTTGGCGCTGCTACAGGATGGGAAATTTGTTTTTGAGCTGTTTAGCCGTTAACTTTTTTCACCTCTTATGCTTGTGACGTTTTTCTAGGTGAGACAACAGTTGAGGAGACATATGACAGGATGTTTACTGCCACCAGCCGGGTAAGATTTTCTGTCACCAAAGAGGATGATGGAGTGCCAGTGGACTGCATTATTGACCACCCAGCTGTAAAGGACCTCCTGGCTCAAAGACACTTGGAAGTGCTATGTGAGTGACCTAAAACTGTAGTTTTTTTCATGCCCATAACTAAACAAAGGCCTCACAGACAACGCCAGAGATTTTCTCTTGCTTGGGCTAGATGTTGGCGTAACTTCTTATTGGTGGGGCTGTGGAATTTGTTGTCATTTGACTACTGCAGACACTTCTGATGATTGAAAGGTACCACCCACTAACAATAATAATCACAGTTTGTAAAAGTTGAGGCAGAATAACCAAGATCCTACAGGGTCTACTGTTTACAGGGTCCTTTTACAGTCAGTAGAAGCACATTAATGCTGATTGGAGAAAATTGATAAATCTATAAATATACCTCATGCTGGCTTCAGACTACATAATATTTTTGTCTGTTAAGATGGTCATTGGTTCAGATAATAGTCATAAATTCTTGGAGTGGCTTGATGGAGAGAATAGACAGACCACTTGCCTCTGTAAGGCCATTTCTGTTCCAGGCGCCCTCCATCTGTTGGGTTGGGGTGTTATCAGGCTGGTATCATGTAGTCTGAATCCGGTGTCATGATAATTCCGTGACAGTTGAGTAGGGGCTACAGAATTTGTCTCATCTGACCTTTGGCTACTAAATGACAGAAAGTAGCCACCTGGAATTGCCATTATGGCATAGGGATCTACATCTTCATTCAACTCTCTACAATGAGGTGGTGGGTGAAACGTTAGTATGACCCATAGAGTCACAATGGCTACACTTGTAAAATTTTCCTTTCCAGAGTAAATCCACACTAGATTTTGAAAGCGAGCAGCATTGCTTTATTGGCCTCTATGAGTTGAATGGCATCAGTCTCCTGAACCCAACATTATTGCTGAGTGTGGTCAGGTGTCATATTTTGTACTTACACTGATATACACCTACACCACAGTTGGGTGTGGTGTAGGTGTCCCAGGTACTCCCAGTGTATCCTTTGCCCAACTGATCATAGAGACATTGTATGTCTGTTATCTTTGGATGATGCAGTCCTGGTATTCTTTCAGCCTTAGCCCATGGGATACAGTCACAACAGGAAAAATACTTTTACTCAGGTGTCAAATGATGTTTAGGTGTTCTTTAAATGGTGCATTGATTGAAGAGGTAATACAGGCTGCCTTACACTGTTAAACGTCAAAGAAAGGTTAAGGTACCCTTTTGTAGTCTGTGTGGAATATTAATTTTTTTTCAGGTAGACAACTGTTTTATCTGACCTTTCAAGGAAAAAGAGAAAGCTTGACTGGAACCGCTTGACATTTTGGTAATCTTTGGCTAGCATTGATAAGAAGAAAAAAATCATTTTGCTGTAAGGTACTGTAGACTGACTGGATGTCTGTCTGAGCACACAGGATAATCATTTCATCATAGTTTATGTTTCACTTTTGGTGATTCATTTAGAAGTGTTGTACTTTGGCTGTAGGTAAGAGGAAAAGGGCAGTTTTGTTATAACTTATGACATTGGAGTATTGTAAATACTCATTGCTTTTCTTTCCAGATAAACCAGAAGTGAAGATTGTGGTGACATATCCTGAAGGTTTAACTAGAGAGGGTGACAATCTAGATTTGACATGTATCGCAGAAGGAAAACCACAGTGAGTATTCACCCAGATGGACATACTTCAACACTTCAAAACATATTGAAATTTCTATTAAGTGTCCTACTTTCCACTGTATATGCTTTTTCCAACAATCCGAGCACCCCCTTAACCTTCACATTTCATTGTACCATTAAAATGTTACCAGTTGTTTGCATGCTGTATAAAGCACATCATTAGACAGGGCCTGGTGATAGCCCTCCTCAGACGATCTCAGATTTGACCTTTATTTCAGATTTCTAGCATGGATAGACAGCGCCTGAGTGATGTGTGTGGTATTTATGCTTTCCAGTCCCCATCAGATCAACTGGCTAAGAGTAGACGAGGATGTGCCACCTCACGCTGTGGTCACAGGCTCTGATCTCTACATCGAGAACCTCAACAAGTCCTACAATGGTACCTATCGCTGCGTGGCATCCAATGCTGTAGGAGAGGCCTATGATGACTACATCCTCTATGTATATGGTAGGTATTAATGCTTCATTGTACTTGATGTTTAAATGCCTCCATCACTCTTTAACACCAGGATTCAGTCTGTAGTGTTGATAAAGGAAGTTTTATGGCTTTGGCAGTCAAGGGATTGTATTGGAACTATAAAGGATTTACTACAGTAGTTGTGTAACAAGCAGAATCACATTTCAAACATATATGGATGTAAGACATTATTGAGAGCAACAGGGAGCTTAAAATCACAGAAGGTGGCTGCAGTTGACAAATCCACAGAACTCCGAATTTATGTTGAAAGATTTGCGCTGCAGCTGTACTATTAATGCATGATGAGTTTGAACCATACAGAATAGAAAGGAATGGATAAAGTGACTGATGACTTTGGACTGGTATGTTAGAAACCCAGGAAGATTTTATGTGGTAGATTTTTATTTTTGAAGCAACAGTTTGCGCAGCAGAGTAGAAAATGGAAAAACAGCCTATATTGCCATATACTTAATAGTAATTCAACAGACCCAGAAGAAGCACCAAGCCTGAATACATACAGTCACATTACACTTACTCTTGTTGAATGTACCCACCGTCCCCCCAAATTCACTTCTTTTAAATTCAGCTTGCACATTTCAAGAGTGTCTTTCCTGTTTCTGTGCGATCTCCTGGTCGGGTCTGGTGGCCTTTTCCGTTGCTTCTCCCATTCCATGGAACAGTTTACCCTTCAATGTCAGGCCTACCACATCCATAGCCACTTTAAAAAGAAAACTCCTCTGATTTAGAATTACACTCCTATACCACTGTAGGACTCATGATGGATAGTTGAAAACAAAAAGAATCAAAATCAATGCAGCAGAACCAGAGATACTGGGACATCACCTGAGGCAATTTATCTCCTCTGAGCCACTTCCCAAGACCTGTAAACAGACTTTAATATTTAAAATTCCCCTTTAAATCTAGACTTAAGACCCATCTCTCTCATTTACAACTGCAGTTTAGTCCCCTGAATTTTCAATATGTCAACATGTCTGTTACATGAATTTAAATAATATTATGAATAAATTGAGGTCAGAGTTGACCTTTATTCAACTTTTACCAGCAGATTTGCACAGGCAGCCACCAGACACATATATTGTGTCTGAGAATAGAAAATTCATTGTTGTCGTGATGTGCTATCCTTGTGTTTTGTACAAGATTACCCAATGCAGTATTTAGAGTATATGATGACTCTACCTAGTATTAATTTTTTGCCCAAATGAAACCATGACATTGCATTTTAGGGCAAAATATAATAACCATAGGTCTGCAACTAACGACTATTTTGATAGTCAAATAATCTATCGATTATCAAAACTAATAATTGAGTATATGGATTATGAATCGCAAAATTGCTCAGTGCCTCTTATTTCGCTAAGCTTGACGTTGTTTTAAGAATGTGCCACTTAACAATAAATATAATAAACTAAAGCCTGCGTTCAAAAAATTATCTTTTAGTGAATTTTTCTGCTCTAGCAACAGAAAGTCCTGTCATGGACAAAACAGGTATATACAGTGAGAAATAACAGTGTGTGCAAAGGTGTGCGATGCACTGATCTGTGCAGCTCATCTGCTGTTAACAAGGCATATCTAGTGACAATATTTCTTCACAAAGAAAGGAACAACTTAATGTATCACATTAGCTGAATTTACAATAGGGTAAATAATAATGAAGTAGTAAAGTAACATGGCTTTTAACATAAAGTTAGCCAGCTTGCTAACTAGCTTATCGATTCAAGTCCTCATCATCCAGAGAGATTAACGTTAACGTGCCTCCTTTTCAGATGCTCCAGCGTACCTGGTATTCCCCATGCCAGGAAAGGTCAGCTTTGCAAATGCTGCAGTTCACAACCTTCTTGGCTGAGTGAAGAGTGGAATGCTCCCACACTTTTTAGGTCATGAATGTATTAATACTATCACTGATGTTGCTAACTTTACTGTTAACTTCACTCCAGCTGACAGTGTCACTACGGTCCGATAACGTCATGAACTAATCGATTATTACATTTTTTGACAACTAATTTCATCAGTGATTTTTGTCGATTATGTCATTATTTGTTTCACCCCCTACCTAACTGGTTCCCTCTGCTTCCAGTTTTATTCCATTCTAAGCTAACCGACTTCCGATTGTAGCTTCATATTTAACAGACAGATAAATGAGACAATCTCAAACTGCTCCTTAAAAAAACAAAAGCATCATAAGACAGCAGACTATGACTCTGCCATTGGCTATGACTTTTGGGTCTCATAGCAGAAATTCAACCTCATATTTCCACGATAAAGATGGGCTTTGGTTCTGTTGACTTATATTGAAATGGGTGGAATTTCAATGTGTTCTGCAGCCAACCAGTAAAGGGCAATGGAGGGACCATCTCTCCCAGGACATGACTTTAAATGCAGCAGACAGTTTGTTCCCCTTGGTCTGAACCTCTCTTCGCAGACGTTTCGTCTTTTAACCTTAACATGGTTGTTTCCTTGTTTTCACACATCACAATCCACAATACAACAATTAAAACAGCACAATATATATAACATATACATAAAAAAATTTAATAAAAGATAAGAAATATAATAAGCAAGTATATTGCCTGTGAATTCACTTGTGTGCCATCACACATAATCTGAAACATGTTTTTACAAACATTTTTACAAATTGTGTTGTTTAAAGGTGCACCAGGCATCTTTGCACTTGAATCCCAGAGAAGGAACAGCAGGAGGTAACTGTCTGATGTTTTGAAAATGAGAAGTACTTCACAATTTAGAATCATGTAACGTGACGTCAGTATACACACCTTAATTTCCTACTTTTTGGTAGCTGGCAGGGGTGATGAGGACGAAGGGAAAATAAATTTGCAGCAGGTGCAGCCATTGTTGGTAAGTTTAGCTTTCTCTCCTTGGAGTGCCTGCTCCCTGCTGTTTAGAAGAGGATTTTATATTTCGCTCCCAAGTTTCAATTTGTTTCTGCCTGTGTGCCAAGAACATTGCCTGCCAGTGACCAAACCTGAAACCAGGAATAGGGTGAATCTTCTGTATAGACTCTCAAGTAATATGTACGAAAATTGTATTTCTGCATCTTTTACTTAATGCAGGTTAAGCCTCAGATGTTTGTAAGGCTTTATGTAATATTTAGTCATATTTCTTGATGTTAGGGTTAGATTAAGGTTTGGTTGTCCTCAAACTAACTGACTAAAATATTTATATCTAAGAGTGTTTTGAATCATGGCAAATCCAGGATGGAATAACTGAGGAGGCTCAAAACTTGAAGTCCTCCTCCACTCACTATATATTGTTACGGTCAGATGTTTGTGCAGAATGATATATGTTCAGAGTTTGACAGTAGAAGGCTGTTTTCTCATTCATCTGCCTAAGTTTCTCTGTGCTCACCTTAAATTTGAGACAAGTACACACGACTAACTATCTTGGAGGCCAATAATTGTCCGGTATGCAACTTAAACAAGCCCTGAAGCCTCCAGTGCACATACAGTGTATACTGCTAATGGACTGATATTACCAATATTTGCATATTCATAGAATCTGGATTATTTAATGAGTGAGAGGGAGTAGATGTAATTTTTATAATTTTTTACTCGGTAATCACACTTGTTTGTGGAAAAAAACACGTATCAGACACACATTTTTCAAAATAGTGTATTTTAATGTCTTTAAACATATCTTTGGGGATCTTTAGATTATGAAAAATTAGTGCATCGCAGCATACTATATGCTTCCTTCTGTACAAAACTTTTAATGGCATCAGAAAAATATAATCTAATTGATTATGATTATAATTGTTACTATAATCCTTTCTATTTATATGTTTGCATTTTTATTTAGCTGGCAAAATTGTTCTAAGCTCACTGTTTGGACCAATGCCAATAACTTTCACACATATGGTAACTTTTAGAACCCTGGATTACCAAAACTAGTGTGCTTATTTTGTTGATAGGTCCAGACAGGTGTGAGGAATCATACTGTTCAGAGAACAATGACAACAGCTAAATGCTACTTTAAATGAAACAGTTTGATCTGTCCATGCACAATTCAAACGTTGTCACACTAGAAAGAGACAGGGCCGCTATATCTCTGTTTAAAACATCCAAACCCTGGTGGGTTATGCTATTGTACAAAAGCACATCATTACATCTGATTCATCGCACATTGATGCATGATGATTGTTATATTTGGCCACTGAAACCAACACTCATGTTTAAAGCTAACATGTGCCCAAATCAGCGGGATCGGACTCAGGAGAGGAGCTGAGGTGCAGATTGTTGTGCTAAAAGCAAAACTGTTGTTGGAAATGGGCTCATTGTGGCCGATTGCAGGTTTCGGAATGGTGACATTGTTTTCATTATTATCTGCTTGTTTAGGTCGTGTTGACAGCTATGAACTGTGTGTCAAAAACCAGCAATGTAACTTTTTTTTGTCTGGCTGGCAAATGTTTATGCCACTTGCTGAAAATGTGCATTTGTGAAAATAAATGCATTTGTAATGGTTTTAACTGCCACACCATTTCACCCAATTGTAGGGCAAGCAGTGAATAGGATTTTAATGGAGGGACAAGATCTTGGGCAAAGGCGTCAAAAAACCTGTCAGAGTCGGGAGAAAAACAGGAAGTGTTATGGGTGCAGGACTAATGCAGTTTTTTGGCTTTGTGACAGTAACCTGGGACTGAATTTCTTCACCTGGAAACTTCAAAAACTTGTGAAATCACTGCCTCCTGAATGTTGATGTTTTGAATTTTCAGGAGAAAAACCCATGTGGGGTTTTACGAATGTTTAATAAACGGGGTTTCAAACGCTGTAGGATCTCACTAATCCAAATCTCTCAGGTACAAAGCACTCAGAGGAGCACTGGTATTCCACTTTTTTATTGCTGAAATATTTGAAATTGTATGGGGAAAACAACTCCTGCATGCAGGTAATGGAACATATACAGATTTTTCACATCATCTGTGATGTTTGATGTTCAGCGGTTCTGTAGGTTGGTTGATGTTTGTTGAAATGTGTTTATTGCACCAGCTGACATATGTGACTTTGTCACTGTGACATAGGTTTCCTGTGACTCTCTTAACTCTGCCGCTGCATGGTTATTCATCATCGTGCTCTGCCAGGCAGATGATGACATCTGCTTGTTCCCAATGGGCCTATTATGATCACTCCCAAACAAAAGGACAGCATATGCTGGCAAATAGCTCACTCAATGCAGACTTATTCAAACTATCACGACTAAATTCTTAATTGTTGTGTAAAGATTTCTTTGAAATTGTGTTTCCTCTCAAGATTGTGTTTTTTTAAAATTAAAAATTTAGGGAAAGCATGTTTGTTATTCTTACACACAGATTTGTAAAGTAATAATATAATATTATAATAGTTCCGAAGTCTTCACTGAATTGCCTGCGGGCATTTAAGAACTCATGATGTGTGTATCTACTGCTGTTAAATTCATGTATCATTTGCTTCATGCTGTACCCATAACACTTGCATGAATGAATGAAAAGCAATGGGAGGCAAATGTTCTCTGGTCCAGAAAAAACACCCTATCATTTCTGCCTAAAGTGTATTTGCTATCAATGTTTGTGCCTTTGGCCACGATGTCTTCAATTAGTAACTTACTATCCACATATTTTACCAATTTCCATTAAACACCATTTCTCTGGTGTACAAGCGTTGGAAGCTCAATGACTTCAGCTGGCTATAATGAGACACAGGAGATTGGTAAAAAGGTGCTCATAACCGCATATAATTATGTCTGCAACTCCCACTCCTCTTTTCTGGAGGATTTAATGCCAGACAAAATCATGTTGTGGTCCATGTGAGGGTTTGTTGTCCCAGACTAATCATGCTTGCTACAGTGGCTTAATTAGCGTGTGCTTCTGCAACACTGACTGGTCTTAGCATGATAACCTTGTTCTATTTTTGTGTAGCTTTTAGCAGCAGCGCACAATTTCAAACCGCACAGCAGCTATTATCCAGCACTCTCATCCTACTAACTAACAAAGCCCACTAACTTTGGTCACAAAATTACCGTTTGCTTCTCTTATCCAGCATTTTTTCTGTGTGTAATTTATGAGCTCTTGCTCCAGTTAAAGCCATCACAAACATATCAAAATGCCTTTTGTTTAGTCAACTGCATGCAGCCTATTTCTTTTAATGGGTTGTTTTGTTCTTGATACATATTGCTTTATTATGAGCATTGTTCATAGAGCCAAGCTGGATTGTCCATCAATTTTCTTTCATCCTGCTGCCACCTCTGCCAGCGCTAGTCCTTCGGGCTCTTCCTATTTCAAAAAGACTAATGACCTTTCACTGTGCGACAGCCCAGACAGGTGTGAGGCCAAGGTAAATCCACGTCAAATCAAGTCCTATTGTGGTGCATGTATTGTATGTGGCCGGTCGAAAGGCTGAGAGAGGCTTGTCATGCTGTTCTGTGCAAGGGTGTGTCTGTAAGCAGGATGTGAATTGTGCCCCCTGGCTGGTGTGTGGTGTGTGACAGCTGGCCAGAGGGAGGCCTTTCTCTCTCAGAGGTGACCTGATGCTATAACTCACACATAGTGCCTGTTGGCGAGACAGCATCGCTGCCTTTACCACCACGGTTTAGCCCACAGTTGACTCTTTGACCTATAAATCATCCATGGACAAGAAGTCAAAGATTCACAAGCCACTGGAAATGTGGGTTTTATCAGGGTTTTGACATAACACGAGCAGGCAGGACTCACGAGTCTCCCTGTTCTTATGAAAGGCTGTTGTAAAACTGTCCTTGTGAATCACACTGGTTTTTCACAATGTGCAAAACCATGAGGAACAACTTTCAACACATCAGCTTGTAGATTCATTTTTCATGATATAAAACAAGCTAAAATGGCTTATTTTGCAGACAGTTCCCTTTGTTTTTGAAGAACCCCTATATAAAACTTGATGTAAAAGTAACATTTAAGCAGGAGAAAACAAATAAGACAAAAGAAAAGAAAAAAATCTCTTCCCTGCTGTTGTGTTGGCAGACAGGTTTAAGCAGGTATAGATAAACAATTTCTCCTACATTGTTTCACTTTATGGTTACATTTTCTCATATCAAATTCCTCACTGATACAAATGCTCCCTGAAAATATGGCCTCTCCAAAATACACTCATATTTCAGCCCTCATAATGCTGAGCCCAGAGTCATCCAGCCTGGAAATTGCCCATGGAGAATTCTTGTTCGCCTGGATATTATATGTGCCACATCCTATCCAGGCCTTTGTGAAGACCCTCTTCCCTGAATGGCCAATTTCCCTCTTCCAGACACTGACATTTCAGCTATCAGACTGCCTTCGGTCACAAGGAAAGAAATCTAGCATACGCCCATCTTCAAATACTGTCAGAGGAGAATCTTTTCCTGATACCCTGATACCCCCCTACCACCATCAACACCACCTCTGCCATAAACTCCATCCCCGGCGGCAACATTATGCTGTCCTTGATGTTTTATCATTAGTTTGGGAGTGTGTGGTCCCCCACTGCTGTCTTTTGATGGAATACAGACAGTAAAGGCATGGAGACAGCCAGCCAATTTCTCCTGCTGCGACTCTCCCACAGCAAGGGGTCGTGCTATCTTTACCCTGCACCACAGCCTGGCAGATATTCCCCTGATGAGGAAGCTTTCAGCACTCCTTAGTACCATTGCATACCTGAATTGCCCTCCATTTTGTCTTTCTGATTATTTTGTTTGGGGGTTAGTGACAGGTCTAATCAGTACAGTGTGGGGCAGAGGATGCTGCTTGGGGCTCTACTGTTCTGCAGCGGGAGACCACCAGAGTGGTTTAATTTGCAGTTTGACTTAATTACTGAGAGAGACTGTGGAAAATGGCAATACCTCTCCATGATTGCCAGACATTATTATTCATAGTTAATTAGAAAATGTATCAAAAAAGGAACACAATAGCTTACCATAATGAAATATAATACAACCCTAGCATGGTGAGGTATTAGTGTCTTTTTAGAGGCATTGCTCTGTGGATGGCAGCGCTGGTCTGTAGGTCAGTCGGTCCACCCCTTTGATCCAGACTGAAATATCTGAACAACTGTTGGATGGATGGCCATGACATTTTGTAAAGACATTAATTGTTCCAAGAGGATATAGGCTAATGATTTGGGTTATCCCCTGGCGTTTCCATTAGTTCCCTTTAGGGGTTGACATCTTTGGTTTTTAGTGAAATATCTCAACTATTGGATGGATTACCATAACATTTTGTCCAGATATACTTTGGTGATCCCATGAATTCTCCTCCAGAACCACTAGCAAGTTGAAGTTTTCAGTTTTCCAGTGAAATATCACAACATCTGGATTGGTACAATATTTTGTACGTGGTTCCCAGGTGACAAATCCTAATGACTTTGGTGATCCCTTGATTTCTTGTAGCTGAGAATGACATTACCAGTATTAAATTTGATATATTGTCCAGTATTTGATTGATTGGCATGAAATTTGATTCATACCTTCATGTCGCCCTCAGGATGAATTGTAACAATTTGGAGATCCCTTAACTATTCATCTAGTCCATCATCAGGTCAAATATTGAAGTTGTGCAATACTTTGGTTGAACTACTTGCAAAACTAATGATATTTCCATCAGCTAATTCGTAAATGTTAGTCTGCCAACACACTAACATAACATGGTGACAATGGTACACATTATACCTGCTAAACATCAGTATGTTAACATTGCCATTGTGGCCATGTTAGCATGCTGGCGTTAGCATTTAGCTAAAAACACTCTTAGAAATGAACTCACCACAGAAGCTAAAGAAGCTTGTTATAATTTCTATAGCTTCTCATCTTCAATGACTTTTGTCTATTTCTTTACTCTTGTCTTCCCTTATTTCTTATACATGTTCTTTATTTTTTTTACTCTTTTCATCTAGATGCTCCCACTACTAGCCCCACACCCACCACCAACCCAGTCAACACGCAAGGTACTGTATTCCCCCCACTACTGTCCCGCACAGCAACCATGTGTGTCTGTGTGTGTGTGTGGGTGCTTGCATGCATGTGTGGTCAGGTGATTGGGGAGAGAAAGAACAAGGGCTTGTACCTAAGGCTAAGAGAGACTGTGGATGGCCAGTTTTAATCAGATAGTGCTGCTGATAGGTGACATTGAGGACAGGCAGCGCAGGGCTGTCAGAGACACCTGTCATGGCCCTTTGCAGTCACATGTTTGATCTGAGAAAATCTAGAGACTCTGCTTTGCTGTTCTGCTATCTTATCAGTATCTGCAGCTATATCTCAGCCAGCCCATCCATCATATTATAATGCTCTTTACATCTCCCCTACAAATGCCAGTCACATTTCATCTTTGCGAGCCAGAAAAAACATCAATAACTATTTTCGCAAAGACATATGAAATGAGTGAAAGGCAGTTCATTTGCGGTGTTTATAGCAGAGCAACCTTTTGGCATCTTCTGTACACACTATTTTATACTTCGATTGTTGCAGAAATGTATTTAAATATTAACCTTTTTTTTTTTTTTAAATCGCTATTATTTCAAAAGCACCAATAAAGCTAGACAGATGGCGAGGCAACCTTGGGAGTTGACATTTGGATATGCCAGAATGTGACATTTCAATACAAAAAACTATCCTTAAAGAATAGATCGGTTCGTCAATAGCTGCTCTAGAGATACGGCAATTTGGCCCTTTTGTCATGACCGTTTGCAATTCATACAGTCATGAAAATGTGGAGGGGCAACATGCACAGAATAAGTTTGAAACTCAGTGTGAGACTGCATCAAAAGTGCCAATATTCTAATGTGGCAGCTTTCAGATATCGTTCACTTATACATTTATTATATCAAACAATTGGCTTTTCAACAGCTTGTTTGTGCATTATGGATTTATTTCTTTAAAAATATGGTTAATATTCACATAAATGGCACAGTCTGTAGTCTGTGATGTCTCCTGTCTTGTTTTTTAAAATCTCTGATCGCTAAGAGTTCTTCTTCGTTGCGTGTTCTTCAATCCTGCTTTTCATCCCCTCTTTCATAAAGTTGCTGCATGGATACAGCCTCACTTCGGCTCTCTGACTCTCTCTTGGTGTGGCTCACTCAAACAGGAAGTTGCATTTACAGAAGTGTGCATTACTCTGCATTTTTTCCCTAAGCTCTTCTCCTCGGAGTTGCACTGATGCAGTCGTCTCCGTGTTTTCTGCTGTAGCATTCCAGTAATTTCCGACAGGCTTGAAAGAGGATTTACCATGATTTATGCAGTACATGCTGTGAGGATGTAATTGAGCTTTCTTGCAGTTCACTACTCTTCTAAATACCCTGTCACAGGGGCAATGGTAAGCTGGCTTGCGGTAGATTGCTTTGCACTACCTTAATTAGCATAACAGCATAGTATAGAATTTCCCCCTCACCAATAAGAAAGTATACAGCGCATTTTCTTTCTTTCATTCATTCATTATAACCAGAGTGTGAATTTGAGCGGCCGCTACCAGCTGCGATTTTCTGTTATAATCAGAGGCCACTGAACTACTACTGTATTTGATCTTGATTTTAAAGGCCCAATCAGTACATTTTTGGATGCATAAATTTCAGTTATCACCACATATACATTGAACAAAATTATAAACGCAACACTTTTGTTTTTGCCCCCATTCATCATGAGCTGAACTCAAAGATCTAAGACTTTCTCTATGTACACAAAAGGCCTATTTCTCTCAAATATTGTTCATGAATCTGTCAAAATCTGTGTTAGTGACTTTAGCACTTCTCCTTTGCCGAGATAATCCATCCACCTCACAGGTGTGGCATATCAAGATGCTGATCAGACAGCATGGGTATTGCACAGGTGTGCCTTAGGCTGGCCACAATAAAAGGCCACTCGAAAATGTGTTTCACTGTACTGGGGTGGTTCGGGGGGGGGGGGAACCAGTATCTGGTGTGACCACCATTTGCCTCACGCAGTGCAACACATCTCCTTCGCATAGAGTTGATCAGGTTGTTGATTGTGGCCTGTGGAAAGGCTGTGCGAAGTTGCTGGATATTGGCAGGACCTGGAACACGCCATCATATACGCCGATCCAGAGCATCAGAAATGAACATTCAATTCACGGGCAATAGCTCTGGTGGACATCCCTATAGTCAGCATGCCAATTGCACACTCCCTCAAAACTTGCAACATCTTTTGCATTGTGCTGTGTGATGGAACTGCACATTTATGAGTAGCCTTTTATTGTGGCCAGCCTAAGGCACAGCTGTGCACTACTCATGCTGTCTGATCAGCATCTTGATATTGTGAACAATATTTAAAGAGAAAAAGGACTTTAGAGCAATCTTAGATCTGTTAGTTCAGCTCATGATGAATGGGGGCAAAAACAAGTGTTGCGTTTATAATTTTGTTCAATGTAGATTGAAGAGTTTGAGTTCTTGATTAAAAAAAAATCATAATTTTGTGTGTTGCTCACACATTATAGATGTAAGCAAGAAAATCATCTTATCTGATGGTGTCCTAGTTTTCAGGACTTTTATGGATGGTCATGTAGTTGTGCTATGTATTATTTTAATTAATGGGTATCATTTTACAGTTCTTTTGTTTATACGGTATCATATGTGGCAATTTGAACAATTTGATATTATTGATGGTTGTGTTGTATTAAGATCAGTTGCTTTGTTTTATCTATCTAAAGTTTTGTTTTTCATATATTTTATATAGTTTTATTTGGACATTTTAATGTGTGGCCCCTGGGAAGATTAGAAACTGCTATAGCAGAAACTAATGGGGATCCAATAAAATAAACAAAGAAAACATACAGTTGTTGTGTACTGTAGTTGGATTAAGAGACCTGTTTTTATTTATTTATTTTTTTTTTTACAATGAATCACAGATTGCACCTTTTAAATAATGTAATTTGTGTGCTATAGTCTGATAGCTCCACTTAGATCTGAGTATTTTACAGTGTATTTATGACAGGGAGGAACTTACTGAATAAAGCTTTCAAATTTCTGTCACTCACTAATCCACATAAGCAGCAAGTACTACGTGGGCACACTTTCCCCCCTCTGTAGTTTAAAAGAAAACATGCAGGGGGGGTTTCTAAATCACATTAACACACTTCCTCCCCCATTTTGTGGTTCATAATAGATAGGAAAATTGGATTTCATTTCCAAAATGCTAGGAATTTACTTGGTAGATTTTCTTTCCGTCTTGTTCTAGCCTTGCAAACCCAAGCGTCAGTTCAAAGCCTAAATATGATTTTGTGCGGTGGGGGAGCAAACGGCGCGTTAAAGCATATATTCTCACAGTTGTTTGTGTTCTATGCTGTTTGATGTTCACAAAGTTTCACAAGAGTTCATATTGTCAGGTCTTTCAGTGTCTTAAAAGATGCAGTGTGTGTGTGTATTTAGACCTCATGGGAGAGTAAAGTCACCCTTTCATAGGAACATTTATTTTTTCAAGTTTGAAAGTTTTCAGACCTTGTTTCTCTCCATGTGTTTTTATTGTTTAGTTACAATAAAACAAGCTTTAAATTGACATCTTGTATCAAGAAAAAGACTTGACTGACACGTGGGACCTTTCTCACTGATCCAAATACTTGATTGAGACATATCACACTAAACACAGTATTATGCAGCTGCTTCTGAAAAATTAACCATGACTTTTGGTATAAATGAAGCAGAACATTGTCTTCAAGATGGACAGATGGTTACCGCATCACAGAAAAAAAAAGCCACAAGTTCTTTGTCAGTGGTTGTGTTTGTTTTGGGGAGGGGATAGAATTTACCCAGAGTCCTCGGCTCTGAAGGAATAAAAGGAGTCTGTGGCGGTAATGCTCCAGCTCATCAGATGCTCAGAGATGATCCAAGGCAGGGACATCATATCCTGGCTAAGCCTTCAGTAACCCCCCCCAGCTTGTCAAGAGGAGCCAGAGGAAAGACATGGAACAAGGAATTATGATGTAGACTTGATTAAAAATACCCTATGTCTCCTTCAAATATGTAGTCCAGGGGAAATTGTTCATTAGCATGTTGCAGTAGGACCTCTACTGAATGGTCTAAAGGAATATAAAAGCTCAGGAACTAAATATTAAAAAGGCTTTGGGGTGTGATGAGTTAAAGGGGGAGGTCAACGGCCTGCTGCTTTATGATTAGTACGAGCAGTAAATTTACTGCCAATAAGAGCTTTGCAAGCAAACATTACACTATACATGAACCATAGTCTGGCCTCTATACTGCACCCTTTAGACCTGATAATACTACTAAGCATAATATAGTTTTATTGCTTGCTTGGCTTAGCCGTCAGGGATTTGTAGGCCCTCGTGTCTTTAACATGTGGTAAACATAACACATACATGACCCTCCCTTTGTGCTGACAAACATCTTTTTCTCCCAAGAGAATAAATCACGTGATTTAGCACAGGATGGTAGTTTAGGAATCCATCTCTAGTAGGTTTTCATACATGAATTGTTTGCCGTTTCCTCCCGCAGCCCTGCTACATGTTAGGTGTTGGCAGGTTTCCACTGCTGTTTAGTCCTGCGATTCAAGCCTCAACTCCATGCACACTATTGACTTCAACAAAGACTGTTGTGAGTGGATTTAGTATTCAACATAATTAGTCATTAAACATTTACCAGTGTTGTTTTAACTCTCACATGTATCACTTCTCTTTGAAGTATTTCATTGGAAAAATTAAACAATCATTTACAAATGGTAATTAGTTTTTTTCCCCCTCACATTTGTTTACTCTGATTCCCGGTTGAAACTGTATTTTCTGACCTGCATTTTTTTTTTCCCTTTCCTTTAAACAGTTATTAAAGAAAGAAAATATTGTAATGGTCCATTTTAATTGGTCTCCAGGGAATATGTTAGTAATGCCAGCCCACCCTGAAGTTAAAAGAGTGTTTCACT